CCCCAAAACCCCAAAACCCCAAAACCCCAAAACCCCAAGCGACTTAGTAAAAAGAGAATAAAGCAAAAATAAAAATTAAACTTTGTTAAATATTTTGATTGCAAATGTTGCAAAATTATCTTTAACGTTCAACCCCCACACCCTAGTTGCTCAGTTCATAGTAGTTCAAGGGCAATCAGGATTCCTATGTATAGAATTAATAAAACAAAGAGAGTTTCTAGAATGTATTATCACAGATTGAGAATATGATAAATAAGATAAAGAAAGAGGGAACAAGTCTTGAAATCATCAATAATACTTTCAAGCCTTCACCAACTCCGTAGCCATTTGCATCAACAGTTATGAGCCCTGTAGGCGTAAAATATAGTTAACAAAGGATTAAATAAAAACTTAATAGTTCTATAAGTAATAACTACCTAAATACTACTAAGAATAGCCCTTAATTACAAAGAAACAGGTCAAATAGCTAAGGAAGCCGATAATCATCTGGCAGCTATTCAATGAATTATTACAAGAAAAAAGCCCACTAGCAAAGATAGTTGAATTTATCAATAACTCCTTCAACACATTATAGTTTGTTTAACAGCCAGTTAATTTAAAATAAGTGCTAGTGATATCATAATCACTCAATGGTAATTAAAGAAAAATAAGCTAATCAATCAAAATCTAACATTAGAATACAGATGAAATAAGAAAGCTAAGAGAGGCTCAAATATGAGAATCAAATGAAGAATAAAAGATGCTAGAGGAGCTTATGCCGATAAACTAGTCATAATCACGAAGAAATAGCAAAGACACCTCTCAGTGCCAAGAATTAGAACACTGCTAATTATTCTAGTAAAAATCATGGATTCAGTAATAGTATCTAATGGAGACTAAGAAAAGATTTGAGTAATCAGCAAACTCCTGAAAGAGTTCAGTAAGGATACGCTAGTTTATCCCAAAGTGCAATCCAATCTAAATAAAAGCTTAATAAAAGTCAATCAAACATTTTCAATAATTCTTGTCTTAAGAAGAACAATCAAAGCTAAGAATTTACTCTAGGTGTTCCACTAACTAAGTCTTAAACTCTTAAAGAACTGCAAAGAAATCAATATTTGCACTATTTATACATGGGTGCAAGTAAACCATAAAATGAATACAGGCCCTGCTTATAAAGCCCAAGTTCGTATTTATTGCTTAGCAGGCGTTGCTAAGCCTTCTCCAAAAATTGGTTAAGCATTAGGTCCCTTAGGTATAAACATGATGTAGTTCTGCAAAGAATTCAACGAAAGAACTTCATAATACAATCCAGATATTCCAATGAGAGTATTGCTTAAAGCGTATATAGACAGATCTTTTAAATTCCAAGTGATGCCTCCTCCCACTTCATGGTTTATTAAAAAAGCTTCTGGACTCCCCAAAGGTAGTGACAAGCCAGGTTAAAATGTTGTTGGTCGTGTTAGTATTAAATATCTATATGAGATAGCAAAGCTAAAGCAAGAAGTAGATCCAACTTTAAGACAACATGATGTAGAGGGAATAACTAAAATGGTCATTGGTACAGCTAGAGCTATGGGATACTAGATTGTTGAAGACACTCTTCCTCCTGAACCAATAAGAGTCGAACTTTGAATGCCACTGCTCATGCAAAGAATCACCAATTCAATCACTCTTAATTTAAACAATAAATTTTACTTTAATAATATATATTTTAATCTAAGCATATTTAGAGATTTAAATGTTAAAGTTCTCAATATTTTACAAATACTCACTTTCCTTATGAAAATTAGGAATCATCCATAACTTTAAATATACTATTTCTCAGCTTATTATGTTTTTCACCTAAGTGACTAGTTTCTGCGACTGCTAAGATTTCCACCACCCACTTAAATTTTATTGCTGACATCTTATAGATTAACTTAAATAATGGTCTAATCCAATTAGTCAATCATTTCGTCCTTTTCGTTAGAATTTATGTTACAAATACTCTAACTATTGATTCCAAAATTTTTATATTACCTCTCGATATCCTCAAATTTGATGGACATTAATGAGCCTGAATCATCTGAAGGCATTTTACTGAGAATGTTATTCAAATCTGAACTCATTGTTTGGATATATGTTGTGAATTTCTCATTTTCCTTATCATGCATTCTAGATTTCATATCATTATTAACGTTTCTAATATTGATAGAAGCATCTAGATTTTTCTTTGTCAGATCTTGAAGTGACATTTAAATCTTATTTCTTTGTTAAATGATCTATTACTTAGTCCTCTATTTCAATAGAACCTTTTATGCTTAAATAAGAGTCTAATCAAATTTTTAACTTGATTCCTTATCTTCTTGTGACTCTTATGTTTCATCTTTCTAATATTGATAAACCTCAAATTTCTGGTTATTTCTTGATAGTATGGTTTAAGTATTAATAATTTCCACACTATTACAGTGCTTACCATCATCATTAAATGTATCTTCTTAATTAAGAGAGGTTTATACCTAGTCTATAGTTGGGTCAAAGTCCTATAAGATGACATCTTTACTTATTTGATATTGCTGCTTGATCCCGAATGAAATACCTCTGTGTAAGGTAGTTGAACTTGCCTAATTTTACAACCCAGGCTAATTTTAATTAGACATCTGACTAGATTTTGTGGTAAGCATATCATTAGACTAAGAAGCAACAATTCTATGTCCATTTGATCGCTTGGATATACATTTACTTTGATTCTAAGGTAAAGTTTTAAGTGATGCTTGCTCTGTAATTAAATTGACTTGAATCATTTTGTCTTCGAATAATCTAGATGGTGATAGTTAATTGCTATGAGTTGAAGGCAAAAATTATTACTGCTACTTTTAAGGAGAAAGTCTTACATTTGAGAATACCTGTTTAAGTCTAATGTCCTAATGAAGTTTTCTATGCTACCCCATGTCTGATTGATTTCTTTGCAGTTCTTTAAGAGTTTAAGACTTAGTTAGTGGAACACCTAG